CGGACATGGATTTGAATCAGCTAGAGGCTTTTCTCACCGCCCAAACCAAAAAACAAGGTGGCATCACATCAGATCAAGCTGCAGTCATTGCAAAGTTCTGGAAGAACCACCGAGTAAAGATCCACGAGAGCCTGATCAATCAAAGCTGCTGGGATAACGTCTTGAAAAGCATGAACTGGCGAGTGGATCTGAAGTCACAGTCACGACACATCGACCAGATAAACACTCCTGTTGCAATAGTTGAAATGGAACTGGGGAAAAACGGGCAGGTACGCTTTCTTTTGCAAAATATAGAAGTCTGGTTTAGCTATGTGTGTGTTGAGAGACTTTATCTATTGCTCAATTCGCTGCATCCAAATCAAGTCAGTGTATTTTTCACCACTGGGCCTTTTATGTACTTGAACTTGTGGTCCATCTTTGGATACAAAGATACGTTCTGGGTGGTGAATGCAATTTTTACTTTTTTAATATCTTCATATTTATTGACAGCTCTCTTTACATTAAGCTTGGAAAATCTAAGGATGTAGAAATCAAATAAAAAATCAACCGTACTAGCAATTATATTGAAATTATATTTGCATTCCATACACTGCAAAATTGATTAGTCTTTTTTTTTCTGATTAATTACTAAAATTAGGTAATATTGGCAAGGTGGAAGCTGAAAACAAAGTTTGCAAATGATGACCATCAAGCATACCTTACGTTTAAGGACAAATGATGGGAAAGACTCCTTTTTATTTTACATAACACCTATTTTTATGTTACAAGTACATCTTTATTACCAGTCACATTATGTAATCTGGTCTTATCTGCCTGAAAGAGATATATAGTTCTGTCAGTGCTGAATGCTGCATTTATTTTTAATCTTCATCATTCATATGAATGTACAACTAAAGTCACAGCTTCCTATCTTCAATTTTTCTGTCTTGTTCTGACAGGAAATGTGTTTCAATTTGCTATCTTTTTCCTCTGCAGTGGAAATCTTAAAAACATTTAACAAGTTTCCTTGGATTTCATAACTTTTTAGTAACTTAAAACTTTAAAAGAATATCTGAACTGGGTATACCTAAAATATGTGTGTATATATATATATTTATACCCACACATACATATATGTATGTATATTTATACACACATGTATATATACATACACATACCTGGAGTATACCTGTGTAGACTGAATGATTTAATGGAAGCTGTGTGGCTGTATCCAGGCCAGAATGAATGTACAGGTAAATTGGGATCCTATAGAGACAGTATATATTGTTAAAGTTATTCTATTAGTCCACTTCTCCTCTTGGTCTCTGAAGGCTTACCCTTCACAATAAAAGGGTGTATTTTCAGGGTGTTTTCTAGCCTCAAGAAAGTGGAGTTTTCTACTGAGGATCTTGAGATAATTATATTCTATTAGTAACAAATGGAAAAAGTTCTTTTAAAAAAAGTTACAGTGAGTACATTAGAATGAGTACATTAGTGAACAAATAGGAGAACACCCATGCTCATTAAAAAAATATAAAGCCTTAACTCGGAACCACTGTGGTATTTCATAAGGGAATTATGTAATGTTGGTGACTATTGTTTTGAAATTGTTTTTCCCCAGTAATGGATTATTACAGTAACATCAATCAGTAAGCACATTTATTTCTCTTCCACCCTGTGCAGAGAGAGAAAAGGGCTGTGAATATGGAGGAAGAATAAACGTTTCTGAGACCTTGTAATTTCTCTTACCAAAGAGCACCACAACAAAACCAGAATGAATTATTTTAGCAACACAGCTTCAGACTTCAAAGGGAAGTGGTTGTGTGAAAGTATTTGTTGAACGGCCATCAGACATAACTTTTATCTCCTTTGCTGAGGACAGTGCAGTAGGCAGCTGTCAGCAATTCTGACTATCTGTGTGAATAAGGGTATTAAACTGGTATTTACAGAAATAATAATGGAGTAATTAGGATTGTCACCACTTGAGTCAAAATTGGCATTTATTTTAAGGCGCTGTGGTTTCATGTAGTCCTTAGCTTTGGTTTAAATAGATCTTCTGCTGCAAAGCCAAAAGCTGAGGCTGTCGGCAGCATGTTCACGTGATCTGCTGAGTCAGGGGAGTTGGGAGAACCCAGGGGCCAAAACAGCAGCAAGTATTCATCAAGCAGAACAGTTCATCCAGCCCTCAGCCTCTTCCCACAAGTGTTTGTCCTCAAAAGATGGTGGCAGAGACTTTACTATTGGAGCTTCCACCCTAGATCCAGCCCACAAACTTCAAACCATCATGTTTTATAGTCTTTATATGTATTTTTACTTTACTGTTAGCACACATATCTGTCCTAGATATCAAGTTTTGTAGCACATCAAATACAGGTATGCTGGTACTTTTCTGAAACTTAACAGATAGAGCATCTTTTATAAAGGTTGTCAGTCATAAATGTGATTTGATGAATAGTGAAGATATCCTGGATTTGTAGAAGAAAGCTGGCTGATGATTCAGGAGTGAATTATTCAGAACAGACTGTTTTCATTTGGACACTTGATAACAGGGGAGTATACAGATGCATTGATGTGTAATGAATTGACATTAATATTTCATCTGTTTCTAGAGAAGCAAAGAAATGCTCTGTAGAAAATGTACCTTTCCAGAATTTATAGTTACTCTGATTCTTCTCTGTGTCTGGACTGGATTTAGATCTCTGCTCAGCAGCAGCAAAGGCAGTTTGGTGGAGTGTCTTCTCCTTCTGCTTCAATAAGTAACCTTGTTTTCTGCTTGCCGTCTCTGAATTTTAATCAGCCAGTTCTTTCATGATGGAAAGGCTGTATGTGTAGTGCCTAATATGGCTAAAGATGGGGAGTTTGAAGTGACTAGCTCATAAATGCCAGTAGGCTGAGTTTACATGAATTATGTCAAATTTCATGAATGTTTTCTGATGAAAGAGGGATGTTTCTATTACAACTTACATTCATTAATTCTTATTATCCTGGGCAATACTGCTAATAGGAAAAAATTAACTCTTGTCTCTAAGTGCTCTTAAAAACACTAATTAGACTCTTAAAATCACTAATGAGAAACATCTGGAAATACTGGTGCTCCAAACTTTGGAAAGTTTGGTTCAGGATCTGTAATTTGCAGTTTGAACTCTTCTTCTTCAGTAAAGGTTTTACAGTGACATTCAAAGTTTCCTTTATGCTGGTGATGTAGTCTTTATACATCCCGGTTAAAGGCAGATGAATGTTAGCTATGAAGTACTCTGCTTTGAAAGCCCATCTTTCTTTAACAATATGACTAAAATAAAATCCTAAAGCAGTTAAACTTTACCTGCATTTGCCTTCATCTGTCTGTGATATCCATGCTCATCACTGCCAGTTCCTTCTTTCCTTTTGAGCAGCCCATCTTTTCTTTGGCACGACGGTTTTAGCCTCCTGCATCGCTGTACATTGCTGACCTCTTAAAACATCTATAGCTCCCTGCTGCCTTATTTATGTCCTTTTAAATCTTGTTCTCCCTCTCTGAGCATCACTATAAAGCTCTCTTGGCATGAAATTTCAACCAGACCCGAATCTGCCAGGAAGGACAGTGGGGTGAGCTGGAGAGTCGCCCTTCTCATGCCCTTCCTGCCCTGCTGCATCAACCCTGCTCCATATGGTGGACAGTTGCTCCAGCAATGTTAGGTTACCTGCAGACTTCAGTCACAGATTTATATCTGACCTTGACATTAACAGAAAATAAATGCATTGGTTTTGCTCTGTGGCTTGGCATTAAGATCTATTTCAGCTTGTTTTATGGACTTTTTCATGTTATTTTCCTTATGAGTTTGTGCTCTTCTCTTGGGACCGTGTTCTTCCCACTAGTATTTTGAGCTGATTTGCCAGTAAGTTTTACTTTCTTGTAGCATTATATATTTTGCAGTTTAATATCTGAGACTAATCGAATGTTATAGATTAGCCTGAGTATTTGCTCTTGGCTTTTATGCTTGAACCTTATTTACAGCTTGGGTATTTTTCACATGCATTTCTTTTCAGTGTTTAAGATACTGGTATTCCATGTGATAGCACTTTTATTGGCATTTTGTGGGATGTTAAGCATGTTTTATGAGCAAAGAGTATCTTCTGCTCTAACTAACATGAAGTCTGGGATTCCACCGCAGGATTCTTCCCAGAAAGACCTGAAGAAATTACATCAGGATTATGGAATAGAGGATTTTTTTCCCAAAACATTGTATATATCTTTTCTGTCCTTTCTTAGAACATCTGCTTGACAAAGGTGTCATAAAACTTAGCTAATAGTATACAGCAGGTAAATACTATTATATAACAAATACTAGAAGCCACACTATAAGAAATTAGGGTAATTTCTTTCAAATTTAAGGGCAAAGAGCAGCTTCTTGTTCCATGTAATTTTTCTGAAGTCTGAAATTGCCAGGAATATGTACCTTCATATAAAACAAATATCTTTCTTTAACGAACATCAAGCATTACTAATAGAATTTTGATAAATTGAAAATATAGTATTTGCTAGTTCTGACTATATTTTGATTGTCACTTTAAGCTCTCACTAGTGACATAAATACTTGCTGATGGAAGGACTTAACAGATGAAGTGATTCTTTGCCAGTGCAACAACTGATCTGATACTGAAAAAGTAAGGACTGCCAGCTCACAGTCTACCTTAGGTATATCACATCTGCTCTAGGTCAACAGCTGGGTCCAGGCCCTGATAATTCCAAGAAAATAATTTTGTTAATTCTGATCATTCAGATGCAGAAAGGATTCCTAATAAATTTAGAAAATCATCATGTGCTGTATGTAAGGAGGTAAAATTCTACCAGGATTTTGAAGGTCTGGAGTTTGATATTTCATCAACTTTTAGTTTATATGACTATGAAGATTTAATTCTTTTAATGTTCTGGGAAGGAATGAAGTAGGTCTCAGCTTTTGGGAGATCAGAATTTTTTCTGACTTGTTGATTATGTATATTCTACACAAATTTAGCTTGAAATTTGTATCAACTATGCAAGAAACAACTTATAAGCTAACTTCACACACATTGTCAAATAAAATTGAACATGCTTTCACAGCATAATAGAAAAATCTTAGGATTTAGTTTCTGTAAATCTCATAACCTTGCTAGGATTACGGACTGAATGTCACTGAGGATCTGTTGGTGTTTTGTACATTTTTTGTGAGCATGGGCCTCAAGGTTTCCCTAGGCTGCAGTTATCTCCAGCAATAGCTTTCACTGCTGAAGAAAGGTCAGATCAAGAAAACGTCATGAATAAACTCATGTT